TTATACATGGGGAATTCATGATGGAGTTCCCTCTTTGGGCTCTGAGCCTCAAAACATTTCATAACATGCAGAGCCCTTCTAAAACCTTTTGATCACATCCCTTCTGAGACTGCTGTGTTTATGTGCAGAACTGTGCACATGGGCAGATGCTGAAGGGAAAGACGGGGAGCAGAAGTATCCTGCACTTGTGGCACTGCAAGTAGGGTTTGCAGGACAACCCCAGCAAGAGAAAAGACCCAACAAGAAACCAAAATACACAGAAGAAAACAACTGTGGGACAAAGACCACTGGGAGCTCAGCAACATCAGCCACAAATCTCTTCCTTGCCGCTGCCGGGACAACCTACCTGGAAACTTGAAGCTGGCTCTTTGCCACGTTGAAACCTAGTACAGGGAGTGCTGAGTGCTCTTTATTCAGTGGGAAATTACCCAGTCTGCACAGAAACCACCCAAAATAAAGATATTCACTCAACCTTATGCTTTGACCAAACAGGTTTGACATCAAGCAAGGACCACGAAGTGCCACGCCTGGAGATGATTTTCACAAACCCATGAGAGGCTGGAGACCTTGGGATTACAGTGCATCTCCCTCTCCTATGTGTTTTGATTACAGTTCTTCATAGCCTCAAAACCTTAAAGATAGAATAAATTGCTGCTGGAGTTAAGTAATTTAGGATCTCGCAGTCCAGTCACAGTTTTTCAGCTGACCAAGAAACCTCTCTTCAGATTAACCAGCATGAGGTCTGCAAGCCAAGATCCTTAAAGGCATTAGATCATCTTAGAAATCAATGGTGCTTGGACATTTTAGTAAATGTATTCAAGGACCTGGACTGAAATACCAGTGCCCACCCCCTTAAAAAAATACGTTAAGTGTCGTCTGAAAAAGTTTATAAAGGTGACCGCAAGACTGTTGCATTTCTGGAAGTCTAAGAAGGGGTATTGTTAATTTGCTAAATTTTACTCGATACTGCATATTAAAAAAAGAGCTCAACCGGTTTAATTAAAATTCATGGTAAATAAATTTCCTTTCTCTAGTGCCAATGCTTTGTATGGACACATTCAAAGGCATTTACTTCCATTTGGTTAAACTTCATAACTGACTCTTCTAAATGTTTCCACATGGTGGCTTGAAATTTTTTTTCTTTTTTCTTTTTAACTAAATCAATTTTAAACCAATTTTCATTACATTGGTGGTTTTGCATGTCCACAAGGCCTGTGGGCCTCTTGGATTTTAAAACTTGGCGTGAAATTCAGCCCAAAATGCCAAGTGCTGAAAGCCAGTGAAAATGAAACCATTATAATCTATAGGGGAAGCTGCCTGCCACTCAGCCCTGCCCACGCTGCTGGCTGGACTGAGAGCACCTTCCCTGGGGCATCAGTCCTACACCAAACTGCGTGCTAGGAATGGCTAAAACTCACCTCTGGACACTGCCACTACTCCATCCTAAGCAGGTTTGGGATTTGGCAGCAGTGAGCTCAAATCCTGGCTGGTGGAAATCGCTTGAAGCACAGCCTGTGAGAAGATCAAAATCCTGATCAGGAGCCTCTTTAAAACTGTGGCTTCAAAGCTGACTGGAAACCTGGCCCTGGGCTTCCCTGCAATTCAGCTTGGGTTTGCAAACTTGGCTGGTGTTAGGTTTATTGCACCTAGTTTGGGGCTTTATTGTGAACATTTTGTGGAGATTCAGCTCTTGAAATTAAATGGGCTCTGTTGTTCAGAGCCTGGACCAGTGTCCCTAACATCCATAAACTCCATACCAACCTATTTAAAAGTAATTGAGAGTCTGATGCTTTATTTTCAAGGTAGAGGTTGTTGCTGTGTATTACCAAGTCAGTAAAATCGGATGGATGGATGGATGGATGGATGGATGGATGGATGGATGGATGGATGGATGGATGGATGGATACTATTGACTGCTGCATATTGAAGGGCCTTGACTTATAAAACAACTTTTTAAACTGGTGAGAAGGCAGGTTTATTATGGTCTTGTTTTCCACCACTGAGTCTAGTAAGCAAACCAAAAAGCGAAAATATGTCTTGTAGAAGCATCCAGCAACTGGGAAGTTTCAAAACAAAGACAGGAGCCTTAGAGGAAACACCACCAGAGGTGAAGGTCTTCTGCCTTCCAGAAGGTTTGGAGCAATGAAGAAAACCAATAATACTGCTAGTTTCCAACACTACTGCTTTGAATACCTCTAGAAGTAGAAAAGAATGGGTTTATTATTTACTGTTCAACTCCTTTTCCCCCACAAAAACCCTCAAAAATGGTGACCATTCAAAGCAGAGCAAAGATGGTTCTTGGCAAAGGTTCTGCATGGCTTCTATTACCAAGGGGAATGTGGTCATGTTGCTAAGATAGTGGCCTAGGAGTCAGGCCACTCTTCTTGGCTATCCCACCACCCCACTGTGTAACCTTGGAAAGTCACGTTTCCCCTCCATGGTTCCACGTTCCTTGCCATCTTGGCTATTCAGGCTGCCAGCTTTATGGTCCAAGTCTGTCTCCTATGGCTCTAGCTACCACCATAATTATGAGAATTTGATACACGCTGCATTCCAGCACCCCTTCCCACAGAGCTCTGTTAGACACCATGCCAGCTCCTACCATCCCTTCCTGGGACACACATGCACTGTGAAGGACAATCTGCCCCCATCACCCATCAGAGGCACCCCCAACTTCCAGCCCCAAAGGGACTATGACCCAGGGAGTCACTGTTTAGCAGTGAGCATGCAGAGGTATGCTCTTGAAGCACAAGAAATATGAGGGTTTTACCCCGAGGTGCACCTCTGCCCCAGCATGCATTTGTCACAACTGCTTGAGTAAGGTAAGGGTTTATCCCTGACCTCAGAGGGCTGCTGAGCTTCCTGGCAATCCCTTGACTTTGCAGCCTGGCATGCATGCATGCATGCACCTTTTTGCAAGCAGTACTGCACTGCATGCACTCACATGGTCCTTTATGACCAGCATAGCTCAAAGCAGCAAGAGAATGTCTGAGTGTGACACTAGCACCACTTTTCTTCACAGGTGCTAAACCTGGCTGTGCCAGAGGCAGGACTTCTACAAACAAAACATGAGAACTTTTTCTTCCCTGTTTTGCTCTGAGGAGTAGTTAACTACAGGAGCTACCACACCACTAAGAGCACAGGTCCTGCTTCTGCTCCAAATTCTCATAGAAGGCTGATCCTCAAATGCCTTCAGGCAGCAGCTGGCTCAGTAGCTGCTAAATTATCTCTGGGTAAGGCCTCCCATGCTGGGCACTGGGCACACACACATGGAAGGACAGCCCCTGAATGAAAACTTCTCAGCCTCAACAGGGAAGTGGCACAAAGGGGAGGAGATTAAACAGTATTAGAGAGATCAGCATGTGGAGAACGGGTGAAGGTGGGATTGAAACTCAGAGAGCACCAATTAGCTGCCCTGCACACTGGGGTGCTAGGTGCTTTCACTCCTTGCATGGCATTTCCACGCATGGACACACCCACATACACGTGTGTGTATGTTTATATACGTGTAAAGGTGGATGTGGACACACAAGCTACATTGACAAAGACTGAATGTGCATGCACAAGCACATCAGGGCTGCAAGTGGCACATTGTGATCTGCCCTGTGCCACCTCCTGGCCCGAACCAGCAGGAACTGTGCCCCATTACAACTTTTGCAGGCTGAGCCAGCACAAGAAGCTGGGATTTCCAAAGGTGCAGGCAGCACAGGCAGATGATTGCACTGAGATACTGTCTCAGCTCCTTCTCAGAGCTCGGTGCTGTGTGTTTTATCAACAAATAACATGTCTTTACTACTGCCAGCTCTGCTGAACCACTGAAGCTGCAGACAAGCAAGCTGTGTTTGCTTCTCTTTCATTTGTCATCAACACAATGGCCAGCCAAGTTCTCATTCCAGCATCTTACTTGTTGGTAACAACAAAAACAGGCAAAGAAGGGAAAAGCTGATTTTTGACAGGCTGTGGGCATTCAGAAGGGTAGGTTTGGATAGGTAAAGTGAAAAAGACCCAGTATGAAAATCACTGGGGAAATAGAAACACTAGGAAGCAAGAGTTTAAAACCAAAAAGTATGCTAGTTAGGTTTTCAGATTCCCCTGCTTCTGCTCTCTGGGATGTTGTTGTGTATTAATCCTCTCCCTTCACCAGCACAGGGGGGCCTCAAGTTAAGTGACAACTGAACTTGATCAGAAGGAGACCAAGAAACTTTTTTCAAGTGTTTCACTTCTTAAGGGCTGCACCCGGGGACCATTCCAGGTCTGGATTACAGTCCTGCTGTTTACAGGATGCAGAGCTCAGGGCAGGGAAAATGCAGGGGAAAACAGTGACAGACATCACTGAGGGAATATCTCTGGAGTATGTTAGTAGGTTGCTGAAAGGGAAGAACAGTTTTGAAACGTGAGCACAGAGATAAAAATCTATTCCAAGGTGAGGATGAGCTAAATACGTCAAAGGCCTTTCAGCACAATCTGGGCACATGTGAACCCATCTAAATAGAAAACAGCGCATTTACTACTAATAGCCTCCTAATTTATTTATGGAGCCCCATCAGACCGCAAATCTCTGTCATCTCCTTCACACACCAATCACCTGGCACCAGAGGAGCTCTGCTCTGCCCAGCCTTTGCTACCTGCTTTTAGAGATAAGCACTAAACAACGGAGCCCTGCAAAACATGATAAGGCCCACGCTTCAAGATGGTTGACTGAAAATACTAATTTTCCAACTTGGGGACGTTTCACAAGCTGTCTTAGTGCCTTGGAGCATCTCAAGCAGCAGAAAGAAGAGGAAATACAAGCACAGAAGCCAACACAATCAGCCCCAGGGTTGGGGAATCCCTCCTCGCATGTATACATGTGCATATGGATATATATCCACGTTTGTCACTGCTATGGCAACTAAGACAACAAAGATATCCTTTTAAAGGCCCTGCAGTAAGGAGGAAAAATATTTTGCTATATATATCATTGCCTATTGACGTCAAAAAATAACTTAAAATAAACTAACCTGTAAGTTTGGATCACGCTGGTCCTTTTTCCTCCTCTGTGGATATTGGAATAACGTTCACGTCACAATGACCATCTGTTACCTTTCATGGAAAAAGTAACCAAAGAGAGCTGAGCTAGAAAGTTTTCTATCAAACCCTCTCACACACCCTCACTGAAGCAACATAAAAAATCCCCTCTTCTAAAACCTATGGAGCACTGTAATCCTGAGGGTCTCATTTAGTCCTTCCACAGGCAAAACCCATACTGACATCAGAGGGAAATTGCCAATTTTGGTAATTAGTTAAAACTAAGAACCTGTGGTAAGCTGTGATAATGAATTCAGCAGAGCAGCTAGAGTTCACTGGGAAAAAAAAACAAGCTGGCAGAAGGAAGTCTGGGCTGAATTGTAAAAATAAAACATTCCATTTAAAAGTGATTTTAGGAAGTTTATTTCCACAGCCAAGATCTTGCAGATCAGGGCATCCTACCTCCTGTGCATGTGTCTGTAGCACCATGCACAGTGGGACTGACGTGACTTGTGCTCTTTCCACTAACGCCACCAGGGCAATTATTTTATTGACAGCACTAAGTTGCTGCTATACATCCAAGTAATGGATTTATGAGGCAGAGAGGAAGGTAGGGAATTTAAGACCTTACTTTGCACTAGGCTGTACCAATACAACCCAACTAAAGTCAAGGTCCAAGGTAATTAAGTACAAGCAATGCACTGGGAAGCCCTGCAGGGGAACAGGCTGGATGTTGGTGATGGTTCATACATGCAAGGCATGGGGACATCTTTGGCATAGGACTGCTCTACAGCTCCTTGCCCAGTGCCCAGAATCAACAAATGCAGCATCTCCCATCCCTTGGCTAGCAGGAGGAGATGAGAAATACACCTCAACTACGTTTCTGTCCCAAACCATCTATTTCACTCACCTCAGGAAGATTGTGGGGAACTCTCTCAAGTCCCTTTTGGCTCAACGTGTGTTTTAGTCTGGCTTGAAGGAGGCTGAGCTGCCTACATGTCCTACCAGAGCCCCACAGAGTGGGTTGAGGTATTCTCAGAGCATGAGATATGCCATGATTCTCTCGAAAGCACCAGGGATATTTCAAAGCGACAGAATTTATTAGAGGTTTTTTTGAAGGCAGATCTCTCTTACTCAGTATGGTGAGTTTGAACAGATATAGCACATGCAATGAGTCACTGGAGCATTGTGGGCCGTTATATACTATTAAGTCATCTGCAAGCCCATGGTGAACCCATTTGCAATGTGGTATTACACGGCCACTTGATGTGTTGTGGATTTGGGTCTGTTCCTCTTCTCCTCAGGGTTTGTTTTTCTTCCCACTTTTTTTTTTTTTTTTTTGTAAGTCAAGCTACAGACTACAAATAACAAGAGCTAACACAATTTGAGCAGGTTTGAATCAGACTTATGAAGGAAAATCAGCAATCACATAGGTTTTTAGAGGTTCAGAAAACTTGCCTTCTCTCAAATTCTCCTTGGTCACCTGGTTTTCAAAACTGCTGGAATTACTGCAATTGTCACCCCTCCTGCCCATCTGTCCCGTTTCCCTCTAAGCACAGGAAATCAGAGATTTTGGTTTGCCCCTGGGCTGCAGAGGAGCACTGACAGCCCCCACCCAGCAATGTGATACTTCAGTATCCTGTGTTACTTAACTCCCAATTGGTGTGCGTTAAGATACACATCTGATTTTCCTCACATCTCCTGTTATCTCCCAAATTCGTCTGCCATCTCTTGTGCCATCAGTCACTTCAGCTCTCCCCTACAACAATTTCCCAAAGTACTTTACCTAGAGATTGTGTGCAGGGCCTTCACCCCGTGGACTTAATAAAAGACATAATGGAAGAGCCTCTCCTTATTTTTAATTCTTTATAACATCCAGTCTCCTTGTATATTTTCACTCATGGTAGAGGAAAACACATAGGCATCTTTTGGAGATCTCCCAACCTTTCCTCACCTGCCTATGTGAAGTTAGGATGACAATATACTAATATTTCTACTGACTGTAGTCTTTTTCAGCCCTGATTTGTGGAAGCTTTCAGAGGATCACCTCTGACACAGCACCACTCCTCATCCTTTTCCCAGCAAAGACCTTGCTTTGCGTTCTTCCTTTACCCCTATTCTATATAACACCCTCCTTCACAGGAGATCACACAGGCATCCAAAAGCCCTGCTGAGTGCTATTTCCACCTTTTATTAATGTCAAGTGCCACTCCTTCTAAACAGGTCCAGATGGGATGTACCAGGTTCTCAAAGGGGCCCTGCACCTCTCTTTTCAAAGAGGGAGCTGCCCTTGCAAGGTCTGTTGCTTTTTTTTTGGAGGAGATGTAGCTGAGACAGGTTTATCTAAAGACCATGGAAGTGCTAGGTGGCTGCTGAACACCAGAATAAGGGGAAAAAAAAAACCCCAAAACTATGGCTGGTGGCTGCACAAAGTAGTTGGATGTTTTACCAAGGCTGAAATACTAAAAATATGGAAAGTTTTTACAGTAGTCCATGCTGTACCTAGCTATAGGATCACTGTGGGGCGAGTCAGACTGGCAACCTTATGTCTGACATAAGTTATGTCTGACAGCTGCTAGTCCTGAGGTGCTTGGCAGGGAGAAATCTAGCTCTGATACCACAGGCCAGAAATCAGAGGAATGCCTTTTTCTCTACCCACAAAGAAGAAACATATAAGCAATATGCTCTAAAGCAGAGATCGCATAAAAAAAGGCTGGCCACAGAATAACTTACAACTGATCTCAAGCTGAATATGGAAACAGGTTGCTTTGAAGATGTCTGTCAAAGACCCTGGTTAAAACCCCAATAGTGGCTAAGATCCAAGAGAAAGAGAAACAGAGAGGGGGTATGGGGAGGCCTAGATTGAACAGTCATTTATCAAGAGAATTGAAGTTGAAAAATACCACGGAGTTCAAAGTCAGTGTCCAGCAAAAAAACCAAAAGAAAAGGCATGTATGGCTACAAGCATAGCTGAAACAAGCCAGACTTGGTGAGAAAATGCTACAGCACAACCCCTGGTATGCATGGTCACTGTGAACAGCAGCTCCCTCCCCACACCTTGCTTCTCCTCAGCTGCAGCAGAGGTTCCTTGATGGAGAAGGGGAGCACCAGGGAGACAGGAAGGCTTGGGGAGGATGGTGATGGGAAGCCAACTCTGCACACACTCTCAACTGTGAGAAAACCCAGAATGGGTGGGCTTGTTCTCCTCTTTGAGTACACCCCCTAGATCCACACATTTTGGATTTTTACCCTCTTTGAGATGAACCTAGGCTTGGCTGTGGACATTTCTGAGGACTAGCATTCTGTGGCTTTCTCAGCCCACCAGTGGTACTTCTTATCTTCTAATTCCCAACTTTACAGCAACTTTTCCTGCCTTGCTCTTCTAAAAGCAAATGCAGTTTGTGGTACCTGAAGTTTGCAACACTATTTCCTTCAACACCAGTGTCCTGAGAACAATGGGTCATGCTGGTAAGGGTATTTCTTTGAAAGCTGTTACAGACTACATATATTTGTGTATTGGGATGAGCCATGAAGGCATCATAAACAGCACACTTAGAAAAGCTCCCATTGCCTGAAGGCACAAAGGACAGGAACTGGATAAGTTCAGTCTGTGGACCAAAAGGGGATGAAGACTTAACCAGCTTCCCATAAAAGACAAAAAGATGGAGCCTTCTCTTTCTGCATGCTAAAGCACCAAATACATTAGAGGAGGATTACCCAGAAACCAGTATATGCTGGTTCGTTTTTTATGCTGAATGTGTCAGCAAGGTCTTGGCAGACTGTGGGGAAAAAACAGAGTATCTATAAGATTTCAAGGTTGTCACAGATCAGTAATCTCAGCTGAGGTCTGTTATAGTCATTCAGCAATGACCCCATCTCTTCTTTCATCTTAGGATTCCATTAGTTTCATCCACTTGCTTGCTTTTCTTCCTTTTTTTTACTGTTCACCCTGAAAAACACAAGTACCTCTGCCATGTTCCTTCACTGGAGTTTTACCAAGACTGGACCTGCCCAGGGGAGCTTTGCCAGATATGTCCCAAAGTCACAAAATGCATTGCCATGGAGCAAATGGCATGTACATAAATATATAATTTCATGGAGGAAACGTCAGGTCAGCTGAGGACCTGACAAAAAGGTGAGTCACTGCAGGCAAGTTGGTTTAGAAGATAAGGGTAAAGCTCTGCAAAAGCACGTCCTCCTGGGTGGGTATCACTCAAGTTGGCCAGGTCCTCAGTGGATACAAATTGTCATAATTGTCATAGTTCCATTCAAATCATCTGGAAAATGATCCCCTGGTTGGCAAGCTGCTAAGGTAACGAGTATACCCCAGGGCAGTGCCAACTACTGCTGGCTGTGGACCTGCCCATTAGCTGTACTGGTAGTATCAGCTTATGTGAACATATTTGTGGCTCTGGTAAACCTGGAAAAAATGACATTTCCATGGATTTGATGAGAAGTGAAACATTTGATGCTTTGGTCTCAAATTTTCTGCTGTCTTCCACAAGAAACAAAGGGCAAGGTTTTACGAACGGCCTTCTCTTTTTTCCCCCTTTTGGGGAAAATATAGGAAAAAGTGTTATCTATGGAATTTCAGAACTTGTTCTTTAACGCAAAACACCAAAACCACCAGAAATAATATTCTCCTGGAAAATATAAGATTTAACTTTGCCCTAAGCCAAAATTGCATACTGATTGCTATTCATCATTCTGCTCCCCTCCTATGTACTCTATACCTCTCCAAAAGCTTACCACGGCAATCAAAGTTCAAGGAGTAGCTGGATGAAGCCATTCTTTCCAAAACAGGTATTCCCCACGTCTGTTCAGAAATGCCCTTCTCCAGAAGAGACTGGACAGCTGTTCTTTGTTGATATCCAGTCTCCCAGGACCTTCAGCAAACACATCCAGGAACCTGGTTACAGTTTAGGATAATATTTCCTTCCAGACTCATCAGGATGTGACAGGCTTTTTCCAAGTTACCAGTGCATGCACACAACCTGAAGTCCAAAGGACAACTCCACAGTCCTTGTGCTGTTTGTTGAGCCTGCAGCCCGCCTCATCTCCCCAGCTGCAGGAGAACCCACCCAAGTGGGCTCATCTGTCCAGTACTGGAGATGTGAAAGCCTCTCCAGATCTTGGGGAAATCCAAGAGGTTATCAGCTGCTTCTCCTCATCCTGGCAGTAGGAAACTTCGAAAGATGGGTGTGCACTTTAGATTTCTCCACCAACTTCCACCAGCTGGGCTTTTTTTTTGTCCATCTCTCCTTCATCGATCAGATTCATTAGGGCTGTCTTTCCATGCCTTAGGTTTTACTCACTCCCCTGTGAAAGGATTCCTACAGGTGTCACTGCAGCTTGAGCACCAAGGAAAGACACAGCTTTACAGGGGCGTCCTGTAGCATCACCGTGTGCCCTGGGGAGGTCTGGAAGAGGTCCTTGCTCCAGGCCTGGCTGCAATAAACTGTGTGGGTCTGTGTGCTTTGCATAACAGGGCGCCACAGAGAGCTGCCAAGGTCCAGCTTACTCAGAGGACACAATCTCAGCACAGCCCTGCCACACTGTACCTGTCTCTGCCCCCTACAACACCCCCAGGGCACTGGAGAAATTCTGCACTGCACTGGGCTCACTTGTCCTCAGTGTTCAGCACCAGCTGAGGACAGATCTATGCTCTGCTTTGCTTTGCTCTTCCTGTGTTTATTCCTAAGCCAACCAAAACACTCTTTGTGCTGCAGAGCAAGTCACCTATGACATGGGACCCTTATTTTTGAGCTAGGGGTGAACTGAAGACATGAGTCTGCCAGATCATCTGTGGAACATGCTGGTGGCAGATGGTATATAAATATTTGTTTTCTTATTACTCAAGAAGGGAAAACAGTTGGGAAAGCAAAAGTTTCTTCATTTTTTTTTTCCAAAAATTTAAGTTAATGAATGGAAAAAATCAACAAACTTCTGAAATTCTTTTTGATAAACAGGATTTTGTCTTAAAAAAAAAAAAAAAAAAAAAAAAGAGGGACTTGGCGGGGTTGAAGTCTGCTATTTTTCATTAGGACAAGATGATGGTATGGCAGGAATGCAGGACAGAGTGGTGCAGATGTGTGAAAGCATTTAGGAAAAGGCACCCAGGGATTAGAGAAGTGCCTGTTCCCAAAATGGGTTGATCTGAGGTAAAGGAAACCTTTGGGATAGGAAGATAGTAAACCCCTCCCCCGCCCCTTTTATAGTGGATATAAACAGTTTTACGGTATTTCCACCAAACAGAAGAAGAAGAAGGGGAAAAAAAAAAAAAAAGATTTCTGCAACACACACATGTTCCCCATTAATTAGGACTGCTGTTAACAACACGTTGCGCCAGAGCTGCCAAGAACTGTCAGACGAAGGACAGGGAAGCCCACAGCGGAGGCTCTGCTGCCTCCCGGGGTCCGCCAGAACCCAGTCCTGGCTCCGAGCTGGGCGCAGGGTAGGGCAGGCAGCCGGGCTGGGGGCAAGGAGAAATGCCCAGCTGCACAGGCAGCCCCTGTCTGAATGTGAATTCCTCCCCCCCCACACACCCCACTTCAGCTACAGACATTTTCCACAGAAATTCTGGCTATGTTCGCTTTTGGTTGAGACTTTGGGACTATTTTTGGCTTTTTTAAAACATGCTTAGGGGAGGCGCCTTCCACTTTTATTCACATAAAGGATCCTTATTTTTATGTATTGAGGGACACAGAAAGAGGAGGGGAGGCAGGGTGAGGGGAGAGCTGATTTATGCTTTCATTCAGCTGTACAACAACAACACAAATCTACATGCAAGCTGCCTTTCCTCTCAGCAGGCTCCAGACACGCTCTTTGCTGTAGCAGAGACCACCCCTAGCATCCCAGTTTTCTCAAGCCATCACTGGGACAGAGAGCTGGCCGCTGGATTTTAAGCATCTCTCACCTTTGCATCTCCTTGCAGGCACTTCAAGGGCTGGGAGCAGCTTTATCCTCTTCCTATCAGATCCTGTCTTCTCAGCTCCCTCCTGAACTACTCCCTTCTTCCAAGCTCCCTGAGTGCTGGTCTGGATTCACCACTGGATGTGACCGAGGTTGCACACTGAACTGACTCATGTTAGGGTTAAAGCAGGGTCCTGAACTATCTTTTCCTCTTTGAACAAATGTAGGAAATAGTGTTGCAACAGTGCAGCGAAGTCCACTGCAGGATCTTGAAGGAGGGGGAAATGATTGCATTTTAAAGTAAAAAAATTATTTCCCCACACTTGTATACTCACCGTGTCCAAGCAGCCAGGCCACCAGCAGGCATCAGGATGTGTGTTCCAAGTGCCCAGTCCAGGATCCCTTGCGAGGACACGAAGGAGGAGAGACACCAGCCATCCACCAGCACGTCTCCTTGACTCCTTGGAGGTTGGTGATGATTTGCTTGTTTTGGATCTTCCTTTTTGTACTGTTTAGGAGCAGACAGGGATTAGCCTCTCCATCCTGTCCCACCTCAGTGAGTCATCCAAATGTACTCAATGTCCTTAGGCTCTCGATCCGAGCATCCTCAGAAGTTGCACTAGACTTGTTGAGTGGCTAATTGAGGAGGTTTTTTGTCGCTCTTCTGCTGCTGCCTCCCCACCAGACACCTGCTTCAGCCTCACCAAGGACCAAGGAACACCTCAGCTCCAGGTGTCCCTAGCAGGAGCAGTCAGAAAGGGGAGAGCTCAAGACTGCTGTCTTTTCCAATAGCTGCCTTGCAGATGCCCATGAGCTAGAGGTATTTCTGTGCAAACTCCAGCCCTCTGACTGCTGGGATGCAGGACTCCATGGCTGTGTACCTTTACCTCATAAGCTGGGCCAAGCTAAAGAACAACACCTACCTGTGGCAAAAATTTTGGGCTACTAGGATGCTATGTGATTCTCATTCTTCCTTTCAAATCCCTAAAATGCTGCTGTTGGAACTTCAGCCCCACAGTTTTGTGAGGCTTTATAGCTACAGTGATGAACATGGTTTTCAGCCAAAAAAGAATTAACTACATATATTCAGCTACATATATTCAACATCATCTCTGCAAATATCATCTGAGGAAATCCTCATAACTGCTGTCCAAAGCACTGGTGACTTGTTCTTGAAAGAAAAGTACTTTCAGACAGGCAAGAAAACAGCCTGGTCTAGACTTTCAGGAGCAGGTAGTGGTTTGAGTGGGTTCCCTATGACTTATCCAAAGGATATTGTTTTCAAATTATGCTGGGTGCATTCCTGCTAACAGCTTTCCTCCTAGGCATCTTGAACCAAGAGTGGAAAAAGCCACCAGAACCACAAGGATTTCTGAACTACTGGAGCGGACTGGACATTTTTCTAGGTTGTAATTTAACAGGAACCATTTCACAGTGTGAATAAAGAACCACTGGATCTCGGTGCACTTTGGGAGAGCTCCTGGGATCACCTGTTCAGATGCATGAGAGATAAGGGGAATGTTCAGACCAAATTTCAAAAGGGCACCACAGAGCTGTTTTGTAGAACTTACGCTAAAGTTTTTGGTTAAAATAGTTCTGTTTGGGGTAGTTTTTATTTTTGAAAATATAAATAATTCCTGT